AAAAAAAAAATAATAAGAATAAAAAGCAAAAGGCCATATAAAAATACTGTAATAATAAAAAAAAGTGTCCATTTGCGAGAGGAACAACAGCAACAAAAAATATTAAAAGAAAAGTTAAAAAAAAATACAACTGAAAACAAGAAAATTACACAGAAATGAAAATTTTATTTTTATATGCTACAATATCCCTATAAAGAAAGCAAAAGCAAAAAGGAAAAACTTAAAGGACAAAATGATAAAAAAAAATTTTTTTTTTGTTTTTGCTCTTTGGGTTATTCACACTATTTTGTGTGCGCTTTTTAATGGGAAAAAGAAAGGTTTTCCAAATTTGATTTTCTAAAAATCAAGCTGAGTAGGTTTTCAGGAAAAATTTTATGATTTTATTCAATCTCGTAATTTTGGAAGATTTCAAATAAATCTGAGTTTGAAAATGCATAATATTAAAAGAATTAATGAAATGGAACAGAAATGAAAATACAGCTAGTATGTTCCTATATTAAATGTCATAATTTTATAATAGACCTTGTTTGACTTTCTAATTTCAAGCTATAAGTTAAAGTTTTAAGCTAAAGTTAAAGTTTTATTAAAGTCCCAACTGAAATACACTCTACAAATATTATTATTAGAACTTTTAAAAAGATTTAATATGATTTTTCTTCTACGGTTGGTCTAAACCATTCTTCGAAAATTCAAAATATTGCACAGCCCCTTTAGAACAAGAGTAGAAAAAAAAAGATATAAAAATTGAACCTTTTTTCTTTGTTTCAAAATTAAGCGTTAGTACCATGTACATATATTTTTTGTCAGAGCTGTAAATGAGCAAATAAAATAAGTAACCATTTCCTCCTTCGCAGACCATTTTCCTAATATGTTTGTCAATCAGATATCGTCTGGAAGTAAAAGTCTCCGCTACTATTACTTCGTTGTCTGGATATTCCTAAGATACAGTGATTACCTTCGCAACATAAAACATTTAAGTAGTATATAAAAGACGAAGTCTTTTGGAGTATATTCCTCCTACAAAACCTTAGTTATAAGTATGGATTAATTTCTTTTATTGTCATCCTTTAAATTTTGCTTATCAGTTTTAAATAGAAGGACGTGTTCAGCGCAAGCCATCATCTCTTACATAAGCACTTACCACATTAGTGTAGAGCTTGTGAACAACGCGTGGCTCCAAATTTTATCTCTTCTCTACGGCTATCTTACACGAGTTTATGGTGGGCTGCCAAAAATTAATTTATGATTTGTTGCATTTAACAATTTTGATATCCTAAGGTTTTGCAATCATAAACAACTTATTGTACATACTTGCCCTGGAAAAGAAAAAACAAAATGTTCTAAATTTAATGACAAAAAATTTGTTGTAAAAATTTTCATTTTATTATTAAACCTAATGTTATGCTGTCATCCGTATCATAAAAGCGTGCAAAAACAAAAAAAAAATTAAATAAAATAAAATTTTTACAGATTTTTAGCAAAGGGACTAAAAATTGTAAATGGCATTGTACATAACATATACATAACGGTTTTTATGCGTGAAATTTTTCTTATACTTTTATTTTTATATCCTGTTTGATGTTCATTTTAACAATTATTGATGCTTGATCAATTCTAGATCTATACGCATATATACATACATATATTTATTTTGTATTTAGTGATGTGAAATTTCCTATTGATTTGCTGTTTGTTAAATTAAATTAAAATTACCTTTGTTTACGAATATTTTGACTGTATACACTTCCACTTTTGTTTACAAATAAGTGAGCAATTATTTTTTATTAAAATAATAAATTTATTTAGTAGAATTCTCCAATTAATTTGTACATTCAAATTCCTACTACATTTTACCAGTTTTTTTGGAATACATTGAATATTGGCGCAGCATTTTTACAACTGCTTAAGAGTAATAAAAATCAAAGAGTTTTAAAAAGAGTTATTTATACCCTTTGACATTTCATTACTCTTCCTCTTTAACGTTTAGTTCACAATTTGTTATATTTTAGTTCTCATTCACAATTTCAATGAAAATAAAAAATCAGCATTATTAATTATTCATATAATTTCCTGGCATCATAAATATGTTTTGGAATAAAATTATTGTGTGTACTTAATTTAATTAACTTACCACGGAAAATGTCCTTATAGGAAAGATTTCTTTTAGGAAATTTCTTATACATTTTAAAATATTTCCCAAATAGTTCATATTTTACGATTTTATCCTTGAAAGGTTTCCAATAACTTTAAATTATTTTTTGTTTTTGATTTTGTCAAAATATGGCTAAACATCTGGGCAAAAATTTAAAAAATGCATTTTTTCTTCATTTGTAACTGTACAAGTACATGTTCATTTGGTATTGTGTCTGATATAAAATGCATTTACATACTTTTATAGATTTATTTTCAAGAATTTGGTAGGACAATAAAAATTTGAAAGTTGTTATAAACGAGACCGTTAATTAAATACCCAAATAAAAATTAGCTCAGATTGAATCAAACAGTTTCAAACAGCAGGAGTGCCAGCAGGAGTGTTCGGGTCGTGTGTTATCACATTGGATATTGCACCTTCGGACTTGTGGGAGGTGGTGCTTGGGCGAATCTCTAATTAAGTAAGGATTACTGGCCCAGCTGGCTATTTATAAACGCTGCTCCCCACAATCATCCTTATCCCACATTTGTGGAAGACTTCGTTACAATACCCCTAAATTATTTAAAAATTAATTATTTAAAAAATTCTACTGAATTCCTTAACTTAATAATTATTTTTCTTACTTCTAATAATCAATTTACAAAATCAACTATTTAATTTACATAAATTCCAACTTTTCACAAAAATTTAAAATTTCAACTTTTTATATTTTACACATGCTAATCAACTACAATGTTAAGTAATGAAAATGCTAACAATAAATTTCAATGAGAAATTTCATAGTGTGACTGCGATAAATAAAATTGGAATCAATTAAAAAGCAATTTTATGCATTACTAAACAAAAATTTTTAAATTTTCTTGGAGGCTAAGACTAATATAACAACAACTTAACAAATCAAAATCTTATATACCACAGTATATTGTACATATATAAAAGAAAACCACTTTATTAACAACACAAAACACTAATATAATAAATTAACTAGCTTTGAATAGCTTGTATGTCGTTTAAATATGCCGTGTTCAACAAAACGTCTGTCTAAATCCAATTCATAATAATTTAACATGAAAATGTTTTCCATATTTCTTTCTTCTTCTGATTTTGTTGTTATTCCCTTCAGTTTTTTATATTGTTTAGGCGACTTTTTGTCTCTTTTGTCATTCACTATTCAAATATACATATGTATGTGAACATATACAATAAATATAGAACTTGCTTCTGTGCACACATATGGACGACATATTATTTAGTGTAAATATTTGAAACAGTTGGTGAAATTTTAAGAAACAAACTTGTCTCTTGAAAAATTTCTAATTGCTTTTAGCAAAAACCTAACCTACATATAAAACTATTGTGAATTTGATATGAGTATATATAAAAAATGTGAGCCATCTGCCGAAGTAAATGTGAGTAACTACTCCTCTTAACTATACTGTTTGTGCCTCTTATATAAATATGTAGCTGACTACTACTATAGTTGGAAGTGTTACTCACACAACCGCAATGTTATACTTCCTTAAATCTCAAGATGTATAATTAATACCCCATCTACTGAAATAAATTTGAGTAACTACTTCTCTTAACAACTGTTTACGTCTGTTTTATATAGACTGCTGTAATTGGAAGCTTTATACACACAACTAGAGTATTATATATATACTTAAATCGAAAGCTACGAGTATAATAATTAATACTCCTTTTCTAACTCACAACATTAAAATAACTTAAAAAATTCATCTGATACATTACCATAATTTATTTTAGAATTAGAAGCGTTGACGTCATCTTAATAATTATTTTTGGATATCGTATATAAGTATTACAAACTAATAATAAATTGGTTTCTCTCCCGATACCCAAATATACTTTTTTTGATTTAATTTATTAACAAACTTTAATTTCCTTAATTAATTATATTAATTCTTTTGTGAATAAGGTCAAATTTTCTTATTATTTATTCGATTTAATTTCCATTTTCAAAATATTATCCATATCATAGCAATTTTTTCTTATCCAATAATATGAGTATGTGCACAATGTTTGTTTGTTTATCATATCGCATCGGTTGAAGTTTTAATCGATACTTCAATTAATAAATAAATTTAATAATAATAATAATTTCAATTATTTAATCGACTCATAATTTATGTATTAATACATACATATGAATATGAAATTATAAATAAGTGTTATATGTTTATTGAAATATGTCTGTGTATAATACATTGGTGTATATAACAATAATGTATAAGAGATTATACTGGTATGTAGATAATATGAGGATTTCATAATTTTCATATATACACAAATTATTAAATATAATACACAGTGTAGTTCTATTTATTTCAACATAAAGATGTAATCATAGAAAATTCGAATCAAATCCAACAATAAATTCAACAATAAATTCAAGGAACAGATTCAACAACAAATTAGAAAATTAGACGAAATAAATGAATATAGTTAAAAGATACAGTGAAATTCGCAATTTTATAGTCAAAAGATACACTGAATTTTGCCAAGGGCTCTTTACTTAAGGTTTTCTCTCCAAACCTTCCCATTTCCGGTTGACTCTCGCGTATATACGCAGTACGCAGTTTATTTGTAAAGAGGATGTATTTAATTAAAGATTTCGCTGTTTCTATTGATGAAAGCTGCACTTTACCTGAAAGATAAATATTATATTAGTAAAACTAAATTTTTGATAGTTTACAAAAAATTGCATATTTATAGGATGCAAAAAAATTTTTTTTTCACTCAAAATTTTTATTAAAACTATACTTTTTTTAATCCTTAATTTCATTACTAATTTATTAATTAATTTTTCTTTTTTTAATTTTTACAGGATGTATAACAGTGTTTATCATTAAAAGAATAATGTTCTATACACCATAAACAAAATATATTAAAAATAAGAGAAAACAACAATCAATCAATCATCCATGTAAATCTTATATGAAATGCATATTATATATAAATTAAAATAATAACAAATAACAATAATAAAACTAAATACAAAAAAAATTCTCTGAGGTCATCATCAACAAAACAACAACCGAGGAGCAGAATACAAAAATAAAAACAAAACAAGCAGAAAAAAACTGTAGAAAAGCTTAGAAAACCTTGTCGCATCACTCACTATATATATATGTATATATAATTGTTTACTCTATTATATATATATATATATATACATAAATTGTGTTTGTTAACATAACCGTGAAGCAGCTTGACAATTTTTTTTATAATAATAATAATAACAAGAAAAAAGAAATCTCCACTATAAAAGTACAAAAATTAATAATATAAATAGAAAAACGAAAAATTTATATAAAAGAAAATCAGAGCAAAAAATACCAATAACAACTACAACAACAATATCGAAATCAAAACAAAAAAAAAACAAGGAAACAAATTGCTGTTATTCGGGATTTTCTTTTCCTTTTATTTACACACATATATTTTTATTTACACAATACATATACATATATTCTTACAATTCACATACACATACATAAAGTATACTATTTTCTATCTTATTTATATGGAAGAGATAAACAAATAAAATAAGCAACCGGAAAATATCAGTAGTAAAAGAATAAGAAACAAACAAGAAAAATAACAACAAAACAAAAACAAAATAGAATAAGAGAGAAAAACAGAATAATTCCTCTTTCACACACACATATACACACTCATTTATATGAAATTTACATAAATGACAGTGTATAATAAAAAAAAAAAAGAATACCCAAAGAGAGAATAGTAAAAAAATAAACAGTAAAAGGACACAGGAAAAAGGACAACTTTAAGTAAAACAAAAAAAAAAATAAAATTCATTTTGAATAAAGAAGAGCTTCATTTTTAATTCTCTTCAATTTTTTTTTGCGTATAATTTCTTTCTTTGTTTTTTTTGTTGTTTTTATTTTTTTTTTGTTCCTCTGGAATTGTGTGTATCAATGTATTTCTCTCTTCTGCCTCATATGACTGCGAACACGAATAATTTTTAATATTTTTTTAATACTCTAGTACACTTTTCAACACGTTGAATAATAAAAATAATAATATCCTTGTAATAATATCCTTTATTCATTCAAAAGAAAAAATTATAAACGGGAAAAACAAATTTTATAATAAAAACTAAAAACAACATTAAAACACAGAAAAAATCACCATTCAAAAATCAGAAATCAAAACAAAAAACGCAAAATATAAAAAGTCGAAAAATAATACAAAATAATTAAAGGCTGACAAAAACAAAACAAACAAACAAAAACCATTTTTACTTAAATCAAAACCAAAAGGATAGAAAATAGAAAAACAAACAAAAAAAAAAACAAAACCATAACCTCAAAAAATTTTTATTGAATTTTCTCGTTTCTTTGGTTGGAGATGAAAGAAATTTTTATTTTTCGTTCTGTAAAAACAAGAAGAAAGAAATAATTGTATAAGGCTAAAATAAGTATAAAAGGAAGAACAACAACAACAACAATAACAAAAAAAAAAATTTTTAATTTTAATTTCTTGTTATTCACAATTTTTAAATTTAATTTTTTTATACTTGTTTTTTAATTCGGTTTTCTTTTCTTTTCTTTTGTTTTTCTTTTTTGGATATAATTCAATACGCTGAAAATCAAAAACTACATACATAATAATATAATAATAAAAAGTCAAAAATATATACATACTTACAAACATATATGTGTACAAAACAATTATTGCCTCTCTTTAGGAGCAAAATAACAAAAATAATAATATTTTAAATTTAATAAAAATTGCAAAAAAAAAAAATAAAAGAAATAAAAATCCATAAAAAATGACTAAAAAGTATGAATTTAATTGGATTATACCAGTTCCTGAAGAATTACAAACAGGATGTACATTTGATAGATGGTTTGAACAAAAGGATACAACTGAATTTGAACCAGCTGCATTATTTAAAGTTGATGAATATGGTTTTTGGTTATATTGGAAAAGTGATGGAAAGGTAAAATTTTTTATAAAAAAACAAAGAATAAAAAATTTCTTAAATATTATAAACTCTGGGCCACATTCATAAAGCAACTATAAAATATTTGATTTACGGTTTTCTTTGTAAACTTACCACATTATTATATTTGAAATCCGGTTGTAATGATTAATAACTGCCTTAAGTTCAGGTAGATTCATGGAAATAGAAATGTAATCCATTTTTTTAATGTAATCCATTTAAATGTAATTTTTTTCGATTGTCGACCTCTTACAAGTAGTTATATAGATGATTCTTCCATCACAACTTAATTTTTGAGCTGTTTCCTTACTAGAAACACTCCTTATAGATTTCAATTTTAATCCGTTTTGCTATCTATAACAGCAAGTGTAAATTTACGAGTAGTTAAAACACCTTTTTAGTTGAGTTCTGTTTCAAGACTGATTTATTTCATTATTCAATACATATTCTTATAATCTATTATAGTGTATTTATGTTTTATGTATTTATGTAAGCAATACTCGTAATGTAAGCAGCCAGTGTTTCCACATCATATACCCTTCAAACATTTCGTCCAGCGAATATATGTTTTGAGTGTTAACTAATGTGTCAAACTGTGTACAGTTTGACACATTAGTTAACCCTACACTATCAATAGAGTAATAGCTTTCTTAGTGACATTTTACATAGAACTTGGTTTTTAAGAATCCTGCAACAACTGAAAATATTTTAAACGGAAGAATGAGAAAAATGATAGTTACCTTATTGAATTTGACGAAACAATAAAACTAATAGTTTTGATGAAAATTCATTCCCATTAGAAATTTATTTTGAATAGCCTTTCCATCGCACAGTGTTATTATACATAACAGTGTTATTACGGCAAGTGTTACCGTTGTCGATGAGATCTTTGTTTATTGTTCTACGACCTTCTTACATCATTTTCGGCCTTTTTACTTTACGTTTTCGAAAAAAAATTCCATTCGAATGCTTAACTTGTAATCGCACTTTGCGTTCTTCTCGAAGAATGAACAAACCAGAGCTATTATGTTCTTATTTATATCGATACAATATATCTTTACTTGTATCCTGCCACAGTTCTATCAGAAAAATTCTTACTCAATTCCATGAATATATGTCATATCAATAATTTATGTGTCCGGTGTCACCTCCATAAAACTGAATTGGTTTTATGTAAGCATTGAATATTTTTCAGATTTGATCTAAAATCGGCCAAATTTAAAATCTATGCCAACCAAATTTGTCCATCAAATGGCTATTCTAACTAAACTAATTAAATCTCGTACTCTATTTCTCAGACCTCCATTTGTTGTTATTTTAACACCGAGGTGATTGAATTTGAATTGCTTTACTAAAGCCTTATTGAAGTGGCTCGCAAATATTTGTAAATCACATACAAACCCATATATGCATATATTTCAAATTAATTAATAATTACATTTTATTAAAATAATTAACTCTAATTTTTCAGGAAGGTGATGCAATCGAACTTTGTACAGTTAGTGATATAAGAGCGGGTGGTCTGCCTGTGGTAAGTGTTAAAGATTTTATATAATTTATATAAATTTATGTATTCGGGATGCTTCCATTCTAAATGAACTGCTTTATACCGTTTAATAAACCCGATGACTAAATAAAATTTTATAACCAATCAATTATTTTTGAAATCCATCATCGAAACACTTACTAATAAATATCATGAAATAAGTAGGAGCCTTATCATGGGTAATCCACATCACTCTCAGTAAATGAAGGGTAGTCTCCACCTATCTCTCTATGTATATAACCACACAATTTAAATAACATTATATATACAATTTTGAGAAAATTCAAGGGGATTAACTCAACAACATCCTAAAAAACATCTTTTAAAAATTCAATTTATTTTTTAAAACCTCAAAATTTCAATACCTTCAAATGTTTTTTTTTATTCTATTCATTGTATTTAAAGCCAAAATGAAAAAAAATAATAAAAATCACAAAATATAAAGAAAATTTAGAAATCCCACTTCAAAAAGAATAGAAAACTGAAAATCATTTAAAAAAAGGGACATTATCCAATCTGTTTGTTATTTTGATCAGGATATTTGGCCTTCATATATTTTCCTTCATTCTGTTATTTTATTTTAAGCTGAAAGGCATTTTATATAAAAATTAATTGTTAAAAAATTTTGTTTAAAAAAAAACCCTCAAGAAAGATAATAAGAGAAACAGGATAAAAAAGTCAATAATTTCAAACTTCAAATTTAACACGGGAATAAGAGCAAAAAATTAACACCAAATAGTATTTAAATATTTAAGCTACGTTTGTCAGTTACTTCCGGCAGCAAATAGAACATAAATATTAAATTGCAAGAAATTCTGTCAATTATTTCTTTAGATATAATAAAAAATGTAAAATCGGCTCTATGGAAAGTTCTCCTGAAGCCTAATATATCCAAAAAGTCAATCATTTTTATATACAAATTTTCTGAACTTGAGATACACTCGAGTACCGACTGACCGACATCTCTCTAAAAACACAGCAGACTGCCAGTCTTCCTAAAACCGATCTTGGTGATGTATAATAATTATGCCTTTGAATATTATAGTTATTTTTCTATTTCCCGGCAAACGGATCACCATCGACTTAAAACTAGATCAGGAATATTTTATATTTGATTTAATCAGAAATAATTTGCCTCCTTGGTGTTGTAAACATAGAGGTTAATTGAAAGTAAACTAAGGGGGCAAATTTTAAACTGTTCGATTTCCATTTTTAAATTGAAAAATTATATATTATCAATACATTTGAAAAATTAATGGCTAATATTTCACTAACACATCATTTTATGTTATATGTATAACAACTATTATATGTATAACAGTTTTTTAGTAATAACCAGGAATGATGAAAATACATCCAATTTGTATTACAAAATGTTTTTAACTTTTTAATATTGTTATATTAATGATATATGTATAACAGTTTCACTGTTATAAACTGTTATACATTTATTGACGATGCATGTGTAACAGTTACTTAAACAATATTTATAACAGTTTTTTAAACAATATGTATAACAGTTTTTTTATTAATAATATTATTAGCCATAATCAATTCCATTTAACTTATTTCAAGTGATTTCATTTCTTTATTTAATCATTGATTTTTTATTTTATTCATTATTCAATACATATTTATATGTACATAAATAACATAGAGCAAGATGTTATATACGTTATATATACATATATATAAAATGGGTGTCTATATAATTTTTTATAATAATATTTAAAATTAAAATTCTTGGTAATTAATTTTAATGTTTATTTTTAACATTTTCCTTTAACTTCTCTAATTATATTTTGTATAATTATTATAATAATAATGAAAACAGAATATTTAATTATATACATATATAAATATAATATAATATGAACAAATATAGTTGCAAGGAACCAAAAAAATAGAAAAATAGATTTAAGAAATCGGAATTAAATAATAAAAATCTACTCAGTTGGTGGTGATTTCATTTAATTATTATCATTTATTTTTTTATTATTAGTGTGTGAAAAAAAAACAGAACAAAGGAAAACAGAAAAATAAATCAAGTTTTTCAATAATATGAAGATCTTATTATCCTTATATATGTATACGCACATACAAACACATTATATACCATGTTGTGTTTATAACAAAAATAACAGTGATTTTTCATGCTTTTTTAATTTTTATTACTCTTAATTGCTCTGTTTAAATGTGACACGCAAAGGATATTATATTAAAAAAATAATAAAAATAAATGCATACATTCTATAACAATACATACATATGTACATATATGAATTTTTATGTTTTTTTTTTTTTTTGATTTTCCTTGATTTTTAAATCAGATTAAGGAAGAAAATTATTATTTGCACGAAAACAAAAAGAGAAAAACAAACAAATTTATTCAGTGTGTACAAACTAATTTAGTGTGCCACCTACAAAATGTCTTTAAATGTTTTGTTTGAGTTCTTTTAATGAAAGACAGACAGTTAGTATAGGCTTTATGTCATTTCGATCAAACTATGATAATTAACAAAAAAAAAAAAATTATTTTTCGATATTTAATATTTAAACTTGTTTCACACGGAAATTAAGAATGAAAATTCTTTCATACAACTGCATAGAACAGATGGATGACGTAACCAAAGAAACGAGTCAAGAAAATTTGAACTCACATTTTCAAAATTATATTTGTTACTTTTTTATTATCAGGTTTCTCATCAAATCTATTCACTTAAGAAGTTGCATCTCACTTGGCAGCAAAATTACCCTAAACAAATGTCCAAGTAAAGGGACATACATTCCACTAAAATTTTTGAACGAATCGTTATATGCCCATAATATGATACTATTTCACATAACTCATTCGAAGAATAAAGAAAGGAGACTTAAAAAAGACCCTCACCTCCAATATAGCTTACATCTGTAATAATACCTATATGAAAGTAAAAATATTTTTGCCGGAATTCTATACCATATTATTCTATTTCCAAATTTAAAAACTAAATAGCTATAAACTTCATTGGTTTAACATAAAAACTTTTTCTATATAAAAATAATCTTTATGATAAATTTTCGAAAAAAAAAAGTGTGGGTCACAGCAAAAAACTGTGTAGCTCATTGGGAGAACATTATATAACAAATTCCTTTCTCCTTTCACCATTCTTTTAGAAATATTGAAAAAAAAAAAATTGTTTTTATTATAGTACCAATGTATTGTTTTGATGATCAGCCAAAGGAACAGTTTTTATTAGTTTCATATTAAATAATAAAAATAATTGTAAACAGAAAATCTTATATATACATTCATATGTGTCATATATGCGTGTATATTTCTAAATTTCATTAGAAATGTGAAAATTATTACGACACGTGATTCAAATTTGTTTTTTTTTCTCCTTTATTTGTTTTTAAATAGCTTTATTTGCAAAATAAAGCAAAAAAAACAGTAAGAAATTTGAAATAAACTAAAATTATATTCTAACAGGATGTTTCACTTTTGAAATAGGAATTAATTATAAAAATATTTTAAGCGGGTCACCAGGAGTCCGGCATGTTAAGTATTCGTAGTCAATAACCGAAACAGTTATGCATTACATAATGAAACTGTTATAGAAACGTTCAAGTTTTCCTGTTTCTTAATTTAGCTTTTAATTTTTTGGATCGATTCAAATTTTCATCTTTCTTTAGGCCTTCCTACGTCTTCTCGGTATCTAAAATCAAGAGAAAATAAAACTTAGAGAATAGTAAACGAAATTAAAGACTATTTCCAAGCCGTAAACAATAACTCTTCAACCGGCCTTATGAACAAAAATTCACATTTTAAATTCGCCACTGTTTCTTATTTCACTTATTCATCTATTTGGAACTATGCGTTATTCATTGTTCACCCTGTAAATTAAAAAATATTTTTTACTTTGTTTAAAAACAGACCAAATTCTATAATTTAAAGGCTATTCGATTCAATTGATTATACATTCTCTGACATTCTTAAATATTATTATTATTTTTTTTTAACATTTGAATTTATTTAGAAAAAATTAGATTCATATACCGTACACATGCCAATTTACACATAATATACATATATACATATATGTACATATATCTACAATAGTACACATAATTCGAATACATATTGATCTGATATACAACATACATATATAGAAGTACATATGCATGTATATGCGTATAACAACTTAAGGCAATAAAAATAAAAAAATTCGTTAGTGGTTTCCTAGAGAGCTATAAAAATGTTTTCTTTAATTCTATATAGGAGAAGGATCAAAAATAAATAGTTTATTATAAAAAAAATAAAGAAGAACCGAAAGTAAAAAGAAAACGAAATTGAAGGTCTTATCTGAATCAAAGATTTATCTAGGGTACATTTTTCATTTATTTTTACTAAAATACAAGAAAAAGATGATTTTTTTTAAATAATAAATATAAAATAGTTATTCAAATAAGCATATAAAATGGTTTACAGGCTATTTAATATTTTGTAAATTAAATATTTAAAAGCTAAATGTACTTCATGTGTGAAATTTTAAGTGTTAACGTTTATGTAATCGGCAATTAAACACAATGAATTCACATGGAATTTTTCTCTTAATTGATAAGCTTTTCATTTCTTGAATTAAAATCGAACTATTCAGTTATTTTCGAAAATCTTGAATGAAAAACTGGCTTAAAGTACCTTCCTTTGACGTTCTCGAATAAATTATATTCCCCTCAAAAAAATAAAGATGGCTAATGTTGTCCGGCGATAATTTCCGTCAATTTATGTATGAACGTACCTCTGACGGCTATAATAACTATTACTCACTGTAAACAGTTAAAAATCTTCAAATAAATTGCCAAATAAATTAAAATTCAGCACATCCGAATCAAAATTCATTTCAGATCTCAATTTATTCGGTAAAATTTCGATAATTTTCGGTAAAAATAAAATTAAATTATCGCAAAATATATTTGACATTTCAATATTTTTTTTTTTAATA